TCGTCATCGTGGACGTTCACGCGAGTCCTTTGCGGCAGAGGTTCAATTCTAACCGTTACGCCACGTACAACGAGGCAACACATATTTTCTCGTAGCAAGTTATGGTGTGCAGGAAACTGCAAACGCAATGGCGTGAAGTATCTAGGAGTAATTTACATAATTTATGCTGCATTTATTTTGCAATCTGAGGAGAACTTTGCCATGAGAGGACGGGAGAAGTGTTCGAGAGAGCGGCGAGTTCCTAAAAAGGTACAGCGTGCGCCACAGCTGCCATTTTGTACGTTTCGAGAGAGGCGACACACACCGCCTCCTTGGAAAGAGGCATCCTAACCACCTCGTCAAATATCAGGCATCAAATAAACCTCGTCAGTCTGCGCAAACCACGATGTACACAGATAGCGTAAATAGTATAAGTTAGAGGAATCTAAGCTCTCTGAACGTGTCGTCACAAAGGGTTGAACATTTCAAATTACCTATATTTAATATACGTGGCATTGATAAGTACTGAACCAGAAACAAATCAATAGAATGTCCAAGAATATCTCATCCTGTAGACTACAGTGTGAGGAAAGTTTCTTTGAGTGTTTCTTTGAACGCGAGGAACGTTTTAAAATTTTGGTTTTTAAGTCCCTAGAACGCTTCGTTTAGAAGTTATTTAACGATAGAGCTGATTGTATGTTGCGGGTTGCATTTGACATGAATTTGATGGCGTTTTTTAAAACAAATCCTCCACATTTTTAAGTCAAAGCAATTAGTTACGACTCCGTGAAATTATCTTTCTTCAGATACCTCATTTACAAATATTGGTCGCGTGTGAGCGCCGCGGGTATAAGGTAAGGTATGTATACTATTGAAACATTATAGGAGATACACAATTATAAAATATAAACAATGAGAAGAGAAAATGTGCAACTTGTCCGTGGTATCATTTGAGAAAAAACTATAGGAATCCATTGAAAAGAAAATGAACTCTCACAAGCATTCAGAAATTCCACTACAAGACGGTCTAGAGACTACATATTTAGTAAGGTATGATGTTTAGGAGTATTTAGACATGTTTATTTTGTATATAGACTTACAAATGCCTGGATATGAGAACAACTAAAAATTAACGACTTCCAAACGTTCGGCATTATTTTGGGAGAAACTATACACATATATTTTTTATGTTGAATAAATCTTTTTCCTATATAGTAAACTAGTGGAACCTGGCAGACCTTGTTGTTCCCTTCATTTCCCTTTCTCTCTCTTCGTCTCCCTCAGCCAAAATGTAATAGAATGTTCAGGCCGTCGGCCTCAAAATTTTAGTTTTTAATGCCTTGGAACCCTTAGTTTAGGAGTTATTTGACGATATAGTTCAAAACATTCTGCCAGTGTGTTGCGGGTTGCATTTGGCATGCATATTTTGTTTTGTTTTAAATTTCTGCATTATATATTGCAAAAATAATTATTTCACATAAGAGTTTAAAAACATCTTTGATGCAGGTTGTATATCGTGTTAAATTTTGTGTTCAATCAGTGCATAACTTTTTGAGATGTTGAAACACACAAACTAACATATTTTTATATAGATAACCTCTTCTAATACTTTGTGTAGTCAAAATCCATGTTTCGGGGGGCATTGATACCGAAATATCTATTAATTAAAGTCTGTCTGTGTCTGTACGTCCGTCCGGGTGCCTGTGCGTTAGCACCTAAATCGTTCAGCCGATTTTCTCCAAAATTGATATTCTCCGACCGATTTAAAGGAACTTGAGGCCCCGCGAGTTTGAAGTCTGGTCATAAGTTGCAACCACTTTCCTGTTTTCCATTCTAGTATAATGGTGATCAGGGAGGTGGCTCTCTAGCCTGAAACCTTTCTGGGTGACCGAGGCAGGTCAGAGTAGAATTAATTGGGACATGAGCGGAAAAACAAAACGTCTGTTTATGCGTTGTGTCCATTATGCTCCAGAAAAAAAACTAATATTGAAGATGATGTACGCGGTTATAAGTAACAAAAATAATTATTTATTATGAGTTGGTGTAAAGAGAAATTAAAACGAAATATTTCTATCCTAATCACTCTAATAAAACTATATTATTATTATTATTATTATTATTATTATTATTATTATTATTATTATTATTAATATTATTATTATCATTATCATCCTATACTTCACGACTAAAGACGTTATCAGTCCTTTAAATATAAATATACTCCTGGTTGTAAAACAGATTCCGCAAAATGTGCTCTGTTCCAAATAAATCAATGTCTTGCACTTCCTGTCTTTTGAGTGACCTGAGATTTTAATGAAGTTCGTACACAAAATTTTGCGGAACAAATCCCAGCGCTTGGATAACTATCGGGACAACCTGTGCTTTTCACTCCAAATTCTGCTGACCTCTAATTCCAAACTCTTGTATTTAGACGTTTCTCTGCCTCCTTGGTTACTCGTATGATGTTTTGATCGCACGACACAGCAACATCTACAAGTAGACACTATTTTCTCCAAATCCAGGATAACAATATTCTGTTTGTTTCTCACTATCGTTCGATCAAATTGAATTTGTTGGTTGTACTGCATACAGACGTTACCGTTTTTGGTGAGTAATCGTGCCACTTGGAGCATGTGTTTCAAGGGCATTACACATCTGGCGGTGGACCTAATATACACTCTGTCAAGTCTTTTCATGTGTTCGGCCTTTGCTAGATTTGTATAGGCCGAGTAGATATGATCAATGGTTTCTACTCGTTCCTGGCAAATGCGGCATTTATCATCTTGGAGAATTTTGAGAACCACTTCATCATAATGTGTAGTCAACACATCACACATTTGGTAGCTATTACAACTGGTTCCAATTCTGGCTTCAATCTCCCCCTTTAAAGCCACATAAATTATTGATCTGCCCATTGCATACTGACCTTTCCCATCCGGACTATTACCAGGAGGCTTCAATTTGTCTGAGGTCTCTTCCTCCTTCCTTGCGTGATACATAAAACCGGTTAACATGAGCTCGAGGATCGGCATTGATGCATTGAAAGCAGTTTTCTGGGTTGGTTTTTTGATCCATGAATTCAATTTCTTGCTCAGTCCAATCCACGAGTCCGAAACTGTATTCGGCTACGGGCACGTCCAAACTACCTATTGCCGATGTTTTATTCCTGGAGTTCAGGGCGGTCTGCAGGGCGAGTCTCACTCTTCTGTAATACACCCTACGAATTCTTTCATTGTGTTGTTCAAGATGTTCTCACATTCTTCAATATATTTGTAACCAAGGCAACCAAGATATTTGTAAGTTTTACCTGGCTCAATATCTTGAATCACAGTGTGCATATCAACTTAAATGCTCTCTGGTGTCATTTTATTATGAGCTGAAGCACGCACAGATGTGCGTTTTCTTTGTATGCAATTTGTTATGTTCCCAGTTTTTCAGTGCTCCGAGGCATACTGATTGAACGTTTTTCTCTCTTCTTGCACCATGTAATGTGGTATCGTGTACAGGTCTGGTCACACAGTTTACAGACATACGTATCGGACGGATTGTGGAATCGCTCTTGTTTGCATATCATGTGATGGAAGTCACGTGTTGCTAATCTTGTGATTACATATCGCAGTTCGTAATTTGCGGTCATCCAATTATTTTGTCTCTTTTGTATATTGCCTCTTTACCTCTTTTGCATACATTTCTGCTCAAATTTCGCTTCTATTCTTATCTAGAATGAATTCTAGCTTTGTGAATGCTGCCGTCTCTGTGAAAAGAAACCGTGTCCTCAAGTCGTCAATTAGAACGCTTTCCCTGGCTGTAACGTAGACTAGTCTAGATCATGTTGTCATGGCTACACCTAGAGCTTTTTTGAGGAAGGTCTTTCTCTATTTTGGACAGGTTACCTATGGCTAGTTTTTCTCAAATGTTCTCAACTCCATATGTTAATACAAGCAGGAATTTGGCTTGATATAGTTTAATGACGGCATTATGACACTCTTTAATTTTATTTTTGCCCTCTTGTTAAGATCAAACCTCATGTATATGTCATTGCTAAAATCATTCACAAAGACAGCATTTGGAAGAGAATCGCTTCATTCTTAGCGAACACTTCAAGATTGTCAATGTAGAACAAAAATGACACTGTTCTTTTATCACCATAGTAACCAAAGTCTATTTAAAATCATATTTTATTTGCATTTTGTTTGTGAACAAACTTTTGGCAAAGGTGCATAAATTAGTACATACTAGTTGTTGGAGACTGACTGAGGAGGCACGTGGACTGGTGTGAGATAGCGCAGACGAGCAGCAGTCACCTTCTTCCATCTTACCTTTAGTCGCCTTGATAATAACTCAGAGGACCACCAGGTTTAATGCGACACACACGCTTTCCCTGTAAATGTCTATATCTACAGTCACTATTACCTTGGGAGAATTCAGTAGTCATGTAGTGATTGGAGAGAAGAAGCACATAATTAGGACTAAGAAACTTATACAATTAATTACCATAATAATTACACCAATGTTAGAAATCTTGAATGAATTTAATAGCCGTAGGTATCTACAGTTGAAACTGTGCGGTTGCAGTTGGCATTGAGGCATTGTAATAACCGTAGGCATTCACAGTTGAAGACTGTTTAATTTTAACATTGTTAGACAATTTAAGACAACATTTTTAGACTGTTTAACATTGGTACATTGCAGTGAATAGGAAATTACCGTTGAAAACTATATTGATAGCACATAGTAAAATATTTGAGTTCGAGTGTGCAATGTGGCTTGTTTGATACAATAGTGCTGAAATAGAAACATGTGGAATATGAACAGTATTACATGCTGTTGCAATATAGACTGGTAGTGTACGCACGCGCGGGGCACGCGACGCGAAGACTTGTAGAGTAGGCACGAACGGGGCACGTGTAGTGAGCTTTCTGATGAGGATGCTGTAACAATCAGCAGCTTGGATCTACCGTAACGTGAAAAGGAAAAAGAGAATTTCTATCAAGAATATATTAACATCCTTGAGATCTGGCATGAGTAAAGCGGGGTAATTATGAAATAAATTATTATTTATCAGTTATTAAAATCTACCAATATGGCACAACATATTAAAGATCAGATATTAATATAAGTTTATTAAGGTGTTTCTCAATATAATTTGAATGTGTGCATACTTGACAAGGATTCTACGCGTATAATTATGTAAGTAATGTTTGAATGTAAACTTTTAATAAATTTAGTTTTTGTTAATTTCCATGAGTTACTTACGTTTAATTATGTGTTAGTGATCTGAATTTTGGAAATACATATGGCAAATAAGTTTTATATCGAAATCAAAGAGTCCATTTCTTACTTACCTCAAACAACTATCTGGCTAAACAATAATTTCACTTGAAATTAGTACACATAAAATTGAACAAAATACCTAATTAATGTATAGAGATAGATAGATAATTTATTTAATTTGCTTTGGGCATTAAGCCAGGTGGCTAATTCTTCACACTTATTATATATCTAATGCAATAATATAATGCAATAAAGAACATTAAAACACATACAATACAATACACAGTACATTATTTTATTTAAGGCATGCCTACTAAATGCAGAGGCCAATTCACAGTCTACTGATATTTTCGCTTATTACAACATTATTACTAGAATATCATCTTAAGCTAAAGTCTTGATGTTTGTGAGATAAGTCTCCATTAGTGCTGCAGGCAAGTTAATCTATGACTCGGTAATCCTCATATATTAGTATATATCATCCTCATACATAGAATATTCATATACCGTAATGATTCTACAAACATACCATCATAAAGCCACTATAATCACACAAATCATTCCATTTGATGTTAAATTACATTTTTTACTGACGCCATCAATTAATAGTATTCAGTTCCGAAATAAGTTGTATTTACCTCATTTTAATCACACAAGATCATAATATTTGACAATGAATCACATTTTCCCCTGACGTCATCAGGGATTAACAGTTCAAAAATAAAGAGCTGAGATCCCCTGTAGAAGGGAGCTGGTCGCGACTCTGAGAAGACGGAATCCGGTGGGTGAGATGGTGCGCGGCACAGGGCGCGGGCGCGGCCGGCGCAGCGTTGGCGGCGGGGGGGAGGGGGGGGCGTGATAGGGTGGGGCGCCGCAGCGCCGCCGCCGGCACGGGCGCGCACTAGCTGCAGTGCGCTGCGGAGCGTGGTGGGCGGCGGACGCGACATCGGGGCCTCTGCTGTGGCGTGCGGCCGCGTGCAGCCTGCAGTGAACCCGCGCGAAGGACGTCTCCCGGCACCGGTGAGTACGAAAGCCCGGCCGCCGCCGCGACGCAGCGAGGTTAAGAACTGCCCATTTCCCCTTGGAGAATGAGACAAACAGTTCGTTCGGTAATGCCGTCACTTTCAACTTCTATGAAGAAAATACAGCCAAGTAATAAGTTTCTTGAAGTTTATCAGCGTAACTGAAGAAATAAGAATTGGATAACGTTCGTAACCGTTCATTTTTTTACCAGAAAACACTCATATTTCTTTGTACTATAAATGAGTTTCTTTGTCTTCTCAATAAATTTCCATTGATGAATTTTATAATACATTTTTTCTTGAATACACATTTTTACTCGGTGAATTGTTGGCGTTTGCAATAACTGTGCGATGAATGTCACTTTCATGAAACATTTACAGAACCCAAATTCAAATAATAGTTTGTGGATATCTCACGTTTCTATGCCAATTCAAAATAGTTTCATTTCTTCTAATTAATTTGAACAATACGGAACAATACACGATTAAAGAATTCTCATTCTGTTTGGGAATTTCTTCATTTGTCTATAACTACATGGTGATTGCGCATTTGATTTTCCTGTTGATAAATCAGTTCTTAGAACTAGTATCCCGAAAGGAAAATTACTCTCAAGCGACTACATTGAAGGATTTGCGGTGGATCTTTTGTGTGAAAATCTCCGATAATAATAGTTGGCCATAATCATAGAACTGACAGATTTACCTGTCACCTCGTGAATTTATCTTGCTTTTAATTTTTAAATTCTCTAAGATTTTTTGCTTAATACAGTGGACCACGGATGTAGTGAACTATCATTGTTCTCAGTCAACTTACATGACAGTTACACTGCAGAAGTTTCGGTCGTGTAAAAAATCAACATCGGTTTTAGTGAACAAAGATATTTTAAAGAACAAGATATTTACTTGTACAACTTTCGGAAAAATATTTTTCGTCTTAGTACCGCAAATTTATATATTACGGCTTTGCAAGTATGAGGTATGGAAAGATATTTGTGTAACATACATAACGCACATTTATGGTGAATCCAGGGGATTAGGCAACCGCGCCGCTGAGGGAACTACTACTGCCCATCAATTCTTCTGCCTTGCTTGAAGACTGTAATAAAAAACAAACAAACAACAACGGCAAATACTTCCACGTATTATTGTTAGTGGGTACGCAATATTATTATACAGCTTTTTCTATCTAACTTGAGCTTCAGACATAACTTGAAAATGTAAACGATGTAAATCAAAATTACACACAAACTACTTATATTTTTAAGAAAGTGTACATGACATGATTTAAATATTTTATATTGAAAAATAGTTTGCATTAAAATACATTTTCATCTTCAATATTAAGTATATAGGGCAACATCGCAAAACATAGAAATTTGTTACCATATAATTCAAAATTACGCGAAGCGACTATTATTTAAAAAAATTACGTTTAATAATATATCTAAGATTATGTTGCAAAATATATAGCTTCAATATTGAATCTAAAGGACAGATTTGAAAAAAAAAACTTTTGCAATTTTCGACATTTCAGAATTTTTATTGGAAGTTGTACGTACCCCGCATTATTAAGCTGTCATTGCTGTATTTGAGAAAATACAATTAAAATAATTGAAGCAGTTTTTCAGAATACCATGTTTGCAATTCTTCAAAATTTGTCACCATTTCATTAAAAAATATGCTAAATGAACTCCTATTTTGAAAAAACCTACACATTAATTCAAACACTAATTTTGAAGAGCAAATTTAATAAGTCTATAAACAAATTTCTATGTAATCCATAAAGGAATTGTAGGAAGAGGTCGAACAATGTTCAACTTTGGCAATTTTAAAAAATTCAGAGCTTTCAGGGAAAATGAAATATGCCTCACCTTTATTAACGAGTATTCTTTTATTCGAGGAAAAAAGTAAATGCAAAAGATGGAGCAAATATTGGGAGGATTTTAAAAATATTTTGAATATGTAAAGAAGTATTCCTAAAATTTAATATATCAGTTTCAAATTCAAGGGGACGTGACGTCAAAAGATCGGTCGGGGAATATGCAGGGGGTCCCACTAACTATAGACGACAACTCATAACTTCTAAACTGTTCAAGATATCGAAATGAAGTTTTCGCTTCACAATGCGGAATCACGGGACATGTAATATGGTGTAGAGGTATTGTGTGAATAATTTTTAGTTTTCGAGTGATGTAAAATCATATTTGATTTTTTAAATGGAAATACATCTTTGTCACGAGCAGTAGAAGATGAAAACAAAAAAAAGAGGAATACAATGATGTAATATATATATATATTAATATTTTGAAGGTATTTTGAGTATATTATACTTACTGAGATGTAATTTTAAATTAAACGTACAGATTTCCTGTAGTAGCCCTTGAAACTGCCGTCGTTATGGAAAGTGGTCTTCGCGGCGCCGGTACTTTCGCGCGGAGAGGCCGCGAAGGCCACCTTCCCCAAAAGCGACAGTTGCAAAGGCTCCTACACGAAATGTAGCACATTTAATTAAAAAGCATATACACATGGAGCATGGCGCTTCCCACGACGTGTTCTCCCACTTCAGAAATCATTGAAAACCTTCTAGGAGCCGATAATTTACAGAGGGCCCTTGGACGTGGAGAAGCAAATGCCGAAAGCCTGTCCAGAATGGAGTTCTAACCTCCTAAAATCGTAAGCAGGTGGTTACTGCAATACATTGTACAACGGTATTAAAATTAAATTTAAAATAACACTTCGAATTTGTAATTCTATATTCAAAATACTATCAAAACATTAACATACATTACAACTTTGAATTCCTCTTTTTATGCTCTATCTATTGCAAGTACGAAAAATACATAGTTCCATTAAAAAATCGAAGATAATTAAATTTCTGGAACACGGAATATATTTCAAACAGTATCTCTACACCATATTACTTGCCCCATGATTCCACATTTTTGAATGAAAACTGCATTTCGATATCGTGAGCAGTTTAGAAGTTATGGATTGGCCCATAGTCGGTGGGGTGCACCAGATTATTTCGTGAAAATACTGCGAACATTTTAGGCGCGAAAGTTGCTTCCAGGCAAACGATCCGACTGATGGAACGATCGATGGAACGATCGATGGAACGATCGATGGAACGATCGATGGAACGATCGATGGAACGATCGATGGAACGAAGTTTGCATCGTTTATTTCTTTATTTCATGTTTATTTTATTTTTAAATTCTTTCTTGTATAAGAATGTTCGCGATGGAGCAGAAATATTATTGAATAGCTATTCTTAGCCTGTTTCCCTTTCGTGTTATCTTTTATTATACTAGCGTACCCGTTCGTGAATTCTGGCATGTTAAATTCCACCTTCCTGCCAAAATTACCTTGTTGACATTAAGTGGGAAAGTTGTTAACGAAACGTGTTTATTTGTTTCAAAAATTAAAAAGCTAACTTCCAATGTATTTATAGAATTTAAAATAAAAATAAAGAATATTGAAATTGACGTTTGAAACAAATTTTGAATAAAGGTTTATTGAGTAAGACGTGTTCTTGAAACAGTTCACAACACATCCTTGAACGTAATTATACAATGTTTCTTGACAGCTAAGCTGTTTTCTTTCTTTGATAGTCATAAAAATATTACAAACTATTTTTTACTATTAAGAAAGCTACTTAAAGTTGTCCAAACGAAAATACAGGTTTGGGCAACAATGACCCTACTCTTCGGAATATTATTTAATTTTATTACCGATCTGAGAGGTACATTCGTGCAACTTAATCGCCAAGAATATCAAGTAATTACTTTCGTTTCATATACGTACAGTTGCATTTTCCATAGGTTACGGTTTCTGCAGATTGTGTAGATACTGTAGGTTATTTCACTAACTTTTCACAGAAACAAGAATTTCAATACTTACATTCGATAAATGAACAGTTGCAATTACTATTAATACTTCTTGTTGCTGTGATTTAGGTTTATTTGCGTAATTTAAAATTAATGATTATGCAAATAAACCTCATCAGTCGGCGCAAACAACGGTGTACACAGAAAGTATACACACAATTTGGAGATATAGACGTCTTCTAAGTGTTACGTCATAACAAAGATCGCCTCCAGCGCCGAGTTATATAGTTGGTATTGGATAATATCGATAAGGGCCGGACCAGATAAAATGTAATATAATATCCTATCCTATCCTATCCTATCCTATCCTATCCTGTAGATTACGGTAGGAGAAACGTTTCTTTTTTGACTCAAAATTTCAATTTTTAAGATCCTAGAACGCTTTGTTTAGAAGTTATTTAACTATATAGATTTTGACCATGCTGTCCAGAGTTGTGAGTTGCATTTGACTTAAACATTTAGATGTGTTTTTTCAACAAATCCTTCACTTTTTTAAAGTAAAGATGTAATTTGACACGTCTCCGTGAAATTCTCTTTCTTTAGAGACCTCACTTTAAAGATTGGTTGCGTGTGAAAGCCGCAAATGGTTTGTATACTACCGAAATACTCTAGGAGACAACGAAGATTCTATTATTTGTTATATGTAGCAATACTGTGAAATACATTAAACAAATTTCTGTTCTATGTCCTCTAATACACCGTCTCTTATATTATTAGTACTCGTATCTTCCTCAAAGGATGACATGCTCTTAAAAACGAATTTTTTTTGTTCCTAACTTGCATGTAGGAAATAAACGGAATTTCTGCACTCCTTACTAAACGCGATTATGAAATCACTATTCTTTGAATTCAAAATGCCTAAATTTACTCTCAATTGACGTGTACAAAAAATACTGATGTGATTCATTTAATGGAGTTTTTGTTTAACACAAGAAATGTGAATTAATATCGCTTTGGGGACATCTGAAAACATCTCCAGAAAACTCTCATAGGTCAAGTCGCTATCGTTGTACCCCTATCTCGGAATGTATGCATTCATTTTTAACTTCACGGCAGTTGCTCTGGACGCGGCTACCCCAAACTTAAGTAACGTAGTTATCTTACTCGTCCT